AAAAAAAAAAAAAAAAAACAAAAAAGTGCATCTTGACGAACAAATGGCAGCTAAAAATCCTCTCTTTAGCTCCGTAATTTCATGAAAATGGGACCAAAAAAACATAATACCACACAGTAGAAACATATATATTCACACAAACAAGGTAACAAATCAAGAAACGGAACAGAAAATGCGCTACTCGTACGCGCAAAGATTCGAAATGGGGACAAATATAGCAATGTCGTTTCATCTTCTGTTTTGTTCTTCACCTGAGCAATTCAAATGTGGGGGCAAATCGATATGGAAATCGGAGGTGACGTACGACAACGGAGGAGAGAGAAGCGTGGACGGCGAGGAAGAGGCAGAAGGTCGGAGGAGATAGAGATATATAAAAGAGACCGGCGAAAACAGAGTTTTCTTGGGTCGAAGTCCCAGTTTTTCACGCGGTCGGTCTCTCTCTCTAATTTTTGCAGTAAATGGCATTTATTAACTATTTTGTTTTCCGAGGGAAATGTTTTCTAGAAGCCGTATTTAATAATGTTAGTTATTGATATTGATTGACTTGTGAAGCCGTAAATGAAAACAAAATAAAAAAAAAAAAAATGTTTTAATGATGCATGAAAAATGAATAATGTTTTAATGATGCATGAATAATAATTGCCCGAAAATTATTATTAATATTATTTATGTGCTACAAATATGTTAGAACTATGAGTACCTGAAAAATATGAGAGAAAAACTCAAGAATCCAACCAATTATTTTAACTGAAAATCTGTTGAAATCATGTAAAAAATTTGAATGTCCAAAAAAAAAGTTCATTGTAGAAAGAGATGAATGTCACACTGCCTTAATGATTAATTAAAAAAAATATATTATTATATAGGGTTGGGTTCCCATGAGAATGATTCCTAGTGAAAGAAATAGGAATGAATTTGGTACACTGGATCAATGATATCGAACGGACACAATACACCCGCTGGAATACAATTGGCACATCAATCACAGGGTAATAAGGTAATCATGCCAATTACAGGAATTAATGGAGCAGACCTACCTCTCAAAATCCCGCAGCTCATTCATGCTCACACCCAAAGCTCATCAAATCCCCTAGCTCCTTCATACACGCACCTAAATCTCCTCAATCCCGCTACTGTGTATTTTGTCGCGATCAATGCTTCGTTATTTCGAGCTCGATTTTACAACATTCCATGAGATTCATACGAATCTCGATTCGCTATTCCGAAAAGTTTGGTTGAATCGTCATATCACATAATCGACGACATCAGGTATATTTTTTCAATTTTTGCCAATTATTGTACAAAATTGAGTGTTGTTGGTTTAATTGTCTACATGCCAACATATGTAATATTCATATGATAATTAGTGGATAGTTGATCTGATGTAATTTGTTTTTTCATGTGATTCTAGGGATTTCATACGGTTTTTTGGTAGGGTTGCATAAACAATGGAATTAAATGTCTCTCAACCAGGTATTGAGGACAATTTCATCTGTATTGTGATAAAGTGCAATAGTCCTTTCTATTTCGTGCAATTGACTGTTCATTTCAGTGCAATAGTTAGGTTTATTTATTGCTACTGATATTTTTTCTTCTGATTTTTTTCCCTTGCAATGGCACTTAAGGAATGTAACCGCCAGTTACACAGCAACAACTTTTAATCACGTCGGGTGGAACGAAGCATTGGATACCACACTGTCACCAATCGATTAAACCATATCAAGGACAGCGATTCTAGGAATTACGTGAAGCTGTGAACTTCTACAATACTTATGCTCTTACTGTTGGGTTCGACGTGAGACATAGCACGTTAGTAAAAGCAAGTGACAAAATGGTTATTTGGAAGTACCTCTTGTGCTCGCGAGATGGTCACAAGCATCATGCAGTCATCAGTCCAAGTCCAACAGTACATTCCAAAGGACACGTGACAAGGCGTAGGGTGTCCAACCGGGTAGGATGTACGACAGTCATTTTCATTGTCTTTTTCAATGGTATTGACCAATTAATATGTGTGCAATGGGTCATTTATATGGTATTTGGTGTGCACATCGAACATGAATACAATATGTATATTGCATATTTTTTAATATTATGTTGCACTCTTATGAACATTACGTTGAACTTCTATGAACGTCTGGTTGCACTTTTTTCATACGATGTGATTACACAATTACAAAATCGTTCGATATAACGACCTAATACAAACACGTATTTGCTTATATAAATACACTAGAATTGGATGTTATTGCGACAATTTGACATCGCAGTAGTCATACGTCACCTAATCGTTTCTTCCGAATATGATACGATGATGCACTTTATACATTTGACCGTTTCACAATATACAGCGATCTGTTGCACTTTACGGAATTAAATGACGCACTTTATCGACGCTCACCATACATAATGTCGATAGCTCCTGTTGTTCCAATAATCCACAAACCCTTAATCGGAAACCCCTTCTACGTAAGATTATACAATCGCATAAAGTCTGTCAACCACAACAAAACAAAAAAAAGAATATATATATATATATATATATATATATATATATATATATACATATATTATCGCACTAACATACCAAGAAACGACAATAGCAAATCATAACAAAATACTAGTATATTCATCCAAAACCATAGTGCTAGCAACATCAAGTGATGGATGTACCAAGCGTTAGGTCATACGCATATATGTAATAAAACAAAACATGTCCACAATACGACTAATGTGTCCAAACAACAAACGACCCATACGACCCATCACACGACATTGTCTTTCTTCAACTGGAACCTATTTGATTGAGCGAAGTTCTCTTCTTTCAGCTGTTGGATTGAGCAAATGAAATGACGTAGCAATATCGCTTCCTCGTGAGTTCGATCTGCCTCTTGTCAGCCCTCTTCACGTCCGAATTCCAATGTGGCGTAACACGTCCTTTGAATACCTAATGGCACATCTACATTGGAAGGACCGTCAGTAGTGAATTCGTTGACATTATTGAAACGTCTTGCATCAGCATCCTCATCATCCGGTGTATGTCTCAAGCCCAAGCTAAAACTGGGGCCTTCATGATGAATCCATTTAAAACTGTATCGATGTGCAACAACATCGATAATAGCATCTAAGGCAGCCAGAGTCTTGGGGTTGTTCCAGAATGCATCATCCACTAACTGTGTTGGTCCGTGAATGGTAGGTTCATCATTGCAGCTGGGAGTTTGTTGACTGGACTTTCCTTTACGTCTTCATTATACACCCCAAGTAGCTTCTGCGTGGTACCCCTCATCTTCATAAAGTTCTCATCGCCTAATAAATCTTTAGGCGCCCTCTCGACCAGTTGTAAAATTTCAACACCCGTAGTGGCAAGAATACGATCTTTTGATGCAAATTCTTGAACAAAATCCTGTTATTATTATGAAAAATACAAACAAAAACAGAGAAAAAAACAAATAAATCAATCAGAAACACACACACACAATCATAGTATCACACACGATATCGTACGACAAACACGTAAACAAAACTGGTACCGGTTGCACATAACTACTAGACATATTGCACCATTATGTGTATACGGATGAACCGATTATCCATCACATATAAAGCATAACAAATAACTGACAATTTGAAAAAAAACATATAATCATAAAGTAAACAGGCAAATATACAACGACGATCAAGACAAAAAAACGTACAATATACAATCTGATAAAATCACAATATATATCCATATCGATCATAGCATCACACACAAGATCATACAGAAACATATATACATTATTGCTACCGGTTGCACATAATTAATAGACAGCCTGCACTTTTCTGTGTATACTGTTGCACCGCTTATATGTCACATATTCATACCAAATAGCCAAAATCCCATATACATTACTGGTGTCAGTTGCACATAATTACTGTACGTATAAAACATAAAAAATATGCGACGATTCAGGAATCCGTAAACTTAAGAAGAGAACGAGTTCTCTCTGACACGTCCCGGTGCATCGAGAGTTCTCTCTGGCACTGAATACATACAACACTCAATTGTTCATAATTCACGTATAAAAGCAAATAACACTAATAAACCGATAGATTAAAGCTGATAAGAACAGCTTAATCAAATATTACAAATAGTACAACTTAAATTCAAATAAAAGATGCTTAATTATACTGATAATATATATATATATATATATTCACTAAAAAATGTAAGTTGCAACAAACTAAACACAACATACGACACATCATATAATGCACACGTGTCTTTATTATGTGGACATCCGTCACCGTTATGTTCAGGTACGATGTCGGGCTTCTTGCGAGTAGTTTGTTGCAAAGAAACACAAATTTGTAAAGCTAGATAAAAAGAAATAAAATGAGAAGCACGATTGAACCCTAAATCTCGCAACAAAAAACAAAAAACATTCGATCCAAGAAGACACACACAAACACAGCCTGTAAAGAACTAAGACCATAGCTTAACAAAAACAACATAATGTTAACTAAAGAGAAAACCCACAATGAAATAAATAGCAGAGGAGTTACCAGAGCAGGATTCAACTTCATGAACAACCTAAAAACTAAACATACATAAAAAACACCTACTAATTACAATAACATCATCATTAACTACCAGAAACGGAGGAACCAATTTTTTTTTTCATCTGAATACGATAAGAACTATAACAGGTTGTACGAAATTGACGAACAGATCATCGAATTCTGAGAAAATACACATATTCTGAGATTATCTCTAAAAAAACTTACATGGTTTCCTCGTTTGAGGAGAGTTCCCCATATTCTGTAATTGACAAAGAAAATACTCCAAATCTGTACAAAATCGAACTATTAATCGCCTCAAAAACTCAGTAAATATGGACATTGCACAACCGTTAGTCACAAGACTGATTCCGGTGAAAGCTTGAGCTCAATCGTCCATGGATTGTTGTGAAACCGCCACAATTACCCACAGATCTCTCTGCCTATCTATTAGATGCAATTAGTGTGTCTGAACCATCCTTTACCCTATGCTATTGATGCTAAAGACTATAATACCCTCCAATGAAGATATTTGCCCAAAAAAAGCTGTTATATTTACGGTAGTGCCACCGCGAGTCAAACAGACTTTATGAATGTTGACTGCATCTCAACCCTTGATTTAATAGATCAAATGGTGTAAATTCATTCTTATTTCTTTCACTATAGATCATTCTCATATGATCCTTTACCTTATTATATAATATATGTGTTTAACCGAAAAAATATGAAAAAAAAAATTAAAATAGGTTTTATCTAAAACTTTTGCCAACACACATACATATTGAGATACTCAAACTTTTATCGATAAAAATTTGAACAATGCTTGTTTATTAGCCTCACTTGATGTGTAATTGTGACCTTTTATTAAGAATGCTGCATAATATACGATTATGTATAATTGCGTCATCTTATTAAGAATGTTGATACTATGGAAGGATACACATCACGGATATTTACTTATGACGTATATAGGTTTATAACGTAGAACTAAAGTTATATAAGTTAATTGGCAAAATATGTAGCAAAAATCAAGAAGCCAACAAACAATAATTGAAAATAGAAGCAACCGGCTAAACTTAATTCATGACATGATAAAAGAAAGATGAGCTTTTCAAGGTCTAGTGCACTAACAACATTAAATCGAGTGTTAACAAATGCCCCAAGCGAGAATTCGCATAGTAAAGAATCGAAAAGTTGATATGGATATATAATAGCGCTCGAGGCCAACGGAGCACTATCATCATCATGTTATCTATAAGACAGAACAAATGGTAAT